TCAGGATTATAATTCTTTGGAGAGTTTGCATGTCCATTAGTAAAATCCACATTTTATTTACTTAATTTTACATCATAATTTAAAAATAGTTTTAGGAATGTAAAATTTGTATCTTCAAATACTGCATATATTGATAAATTCCATGCTGAGTTCATAGAGACAAAACACAAATGTGAGTGAAACGTAGGGTATTGTATAATGTTTTTTCTTAACAAATATTCAACATACATTTTAATAAAACATTTATCAACGTCATTAAAAACAAGATTTGAAATAATTAATATCATTTTCTAAAGAGGAACTTCTTCTAAACAAACTAAAACTAGAGAAATATATGATACTTTTATGACAATTTGTCATTTGTATCATTTGAATGCTGTCACGTAAATATTTGATATTCGCGAAAATATCATGCGTGAGGTATTTAAGCTGAAAATTCGATATCCAGATGCAAGTCTGCCAGAATGTGGAGAATGCGTTATAATGATGCAACGAGAATTTTTCTGAATTCGGGAGGGCACCTCCCAGGATGTTGGAATTTCTCAGTAGCAGGTTATTCATTCCTCGTATAGGAAAACTAATCCTCACCTACTCCCGAATGTTCCTCAATTCGTTTCCATGTCATTGTCATTTTTACACAGGACACTTAGCACCTTGAAGGATGTTTACAGTAATTACATCTCGATTCATACTTCGCCAGTGAATAATAAAATATTGCCGTTCTACCTTGCCATCTAACTATAACGCTCACGGCTCAGATACACACAGGATGTTACTTCTCTACTTATATATTGCCACAAATGAGAGAGTAACAGGGGACAAGATGTAGCAGGAAAAGAGGAGGAGGGAGACAATCCCTTCGCAAATACTTCTTCCTCGATGAGTTTTGGAACACCGATAAGTATATGGAAAACATAAATAAAGCTACATCAATAACAGATAAATATTATGTTACTCTGAATGAAAAATACATTATTCTCATAATATCTCATAATATTTTGAATAATTTATTGTTATACCTTAAATTCTCAAAAATTTCTCAAAAATTAAACTTTACAGATTTTCTTCAGAAATTTCGAACAAAAAGTCTTTAAAATGTTTGATTTCACATATACGAAAATTCTAAAAAAAAAAGTTTATATTTTCTCAGCACTTCCAAAGTACTAATTCGTATTAAAAATCAGAGAAGTTTTTATGAAGTTATAAAACTATATAGAAATTCTTAAAAATTTTGAAATTTACGAATTCTGAAAAATAATATAAATTAAAGTGTAAAAAAATATTCACGAAAATATCGACAGCGGATACTCGACGTTATCGATAAAGAAGTTTTCAGTTATTCATGATCATGTAGAATAAGACTAGTAGTATGCAGAATTAAATAAGAGATGGCGCCAGTTAGCTTGTTAATTTTTCGATCCGCGCCGCGTTGGGCTCAGCTGTTTGTGTCCTTCGCGTCCTTACGTTTCGTTTTGCCGCTCGTGGTCTCCATGTCGGCGCATTTTTGGGATTTCGTGTCGCCGCAATAGTTAACAGAATCGTCATCATGGTGCCCAGTTGTACGGTCGAGCTTAACAAGTTGATGAACGAATTAGAAATAAGCGAATTAGAGGTGAGTCTCGCAATTATGCGAGCGAAGAGCGTTTTATAGGTTATGTCGGCCATTGTCGATTCTGTTCGCTCTTTTTCTGTGTTCATGCCGACAGTACTTAAATTAAATTTTGCTTTGAATATTGCTGGTGAGCAGAAAATTTTTAATTATTTATTTTTTGCTGTTTCAGTCTCCAACTGGAGTTATAAGCGCACAAGCCTACATGCGACTGTTAGCTGTCTATCTTCATCGGAATGATTTGTGAGTACAAAATCTTTTTCACTGATTGCGTTTAATGGAGAAAGCAGCTTTTAACTATATGATTCTTTAATACGATCGAGTTATATATTTAAATCCAATAAGAAACTAAGGACAAAGCTAATTATTATACACATATAAAGATGCTTTTTCTACTGAACACAGCAACTGTATTGTCATTTATTTGATTTTTCAATAAGAGGCATATTCTATAACTCTTAATGACTGTAAGGGCCATGACATATAAAAAAATTGAGCAGTAAAATGTAAGCAATAAGCGAATTAACCAATCACAATAGAGTCTATAAGATTATAACATAGGCAGTAGCCAAATCCAACATGTTGATTTTCTGACTGTTTACGTCTTAAGTTTTTTTTACCACATACAAAACCTGAGCAACAACACTAACACTACAGTCATTGAGAGTTACAGAATAAGTCTTTTTAAAATATGTTGGATTAGATTATATACATTTATAAGACTACTATAACTGTATGTTTGACTTTATATTATTATTAATATATGATGAATAATATTTTCTTCAAGAAAGTAATAATACAGTTTTTATTTGTTAAATATCATGTATGTATTGTACAATACTATTTAAGTAGTTGCCTTTAATTTATAAATTTTAAAAGAAAGATTTGTTTTTAATGGATTTAATTTATAACTTAAATATATAAATTATTAGTTAATAGACTATATTTTTTTTACAATTTATTTACAAGAATTTAATCGTAAAGTGATTAAAAAAAATGCTAAAGAATAAATTTATAATTATGTTTTGTTTCCTGACACATGTTTAGGAACTTTAACTTGCTTTGTCATCTTAAAATTTGATAATGTTCAATTATTTCAAAGATCGTGTAATTTCATAATTTTATATCTTATTTATTATCACGTGGATAGATTATCTTTTTCTTTTCGGAGGCTTTAAAATCCAATAGTTTTATCTATAATCGAACTATTTTTCTGTTCCTTCGCGTTGCATTCATGTTTATATAATTATTCGAAATATTTTGATTTAAAGATACCCTAAAAGTTTCTTTATTTCCCTGTTTCTCGCGACTAAGCTCAATGACGAACATTACGTCAAGAGTACAAACGTCGCATGAAATATTTCGTCAAGCCCAAGTGATGACTTGTTTGCGTTCAATTTTATTTTTGCATCACGTTCGAGATGCCCGAAAGCGCGATCGTTTCTCCTTATCGATTGGTCCGTTTGAATGTACGATGGTTATCGCAGATGTAACGCAAAGTACCTCTGGAAGCGTATCCCTTCGGATGTAAAAACCGCCCACGAGGAGCTCGGACGGGTATGGACGGTAGGACAATGCATGTGGCAACGCAACTGGCCCGCGGTTCACACGGCCCTAAATGTGGAATGGAGCGAAGACGTCAAAGATGTTATGACAGCCCTCAAAGGTAAGTCAATAAGGCAAAAAATAAAGTTAATAATAAACTTAGGGCTGATAAAACAAACATTTAGTTCGTTTAGACAGAATTAAAGATAATTAGCGACATCAGTCATTAAATTATATATATATATTTTTTTTTGTACAAGCAAGGAGATATTTATAGTTTCTTCTGTAAGCAAGAAGACATCTACAGGGTTGCCACAAAACTGAAAATTAGAAAAATCAGAAAAAAGGAATTTTGCAAAATTTTCTGGAAAATTAAAAAATTCTTGGTTTTAAAGAAGTTTAATATGCGTACATCACTTACACAATTTTGGAATATTACCACCTTAGCAATTAAACGCAAGTAGTATCAACAATATTAACAGTAATTTATATTGCTGTGTTAAATTGCCTCTCAAAAAAATATTTGACGTTTTCAAATCAGTATGAAACTAGAAAAAATTTCAAAATGTTATTGAAAGCATCAAGGAAAACAATGAAATTTTTTTGTCTGGAAGTCAGAGAAAATTTATGAAATTTTGAATGAAGAATTTGTGGCAACTCTAATCTATAAGAAGATTTGCGTATAAAAATGCGTAATTATCGCGAACGTTTAGAGATTATCGGTTATAATAATGATAAAAATTTGTCAAGTCGTGGCAGATGCGATATTTACTGTTTTTCAAATAATTCTAATTCTATAT